GCCCAGCCCCTCCCCACCCTCCCAGCCAGGAATCCCTTCCCAATCTCCCCCCCAAATCTCCCCTTTCCCAGTGGGATCCATTCCCTGGGTCCTGTCATTCCAGGCCCTGATCCCCAGTCCCTCTCCAGCTCTCCCGGAGCCCCTTCAGGCTCTGGATCCTCTCACCAGCTCCCGGAGGCAGGAGCGGAGCCTCTCCCTGTCCAGGCGGGTGCGGGACGAGTGCGGCTGCTCCCGGTCAGCCAAGGCCACGAAGCGCCTGGGGGGGGGAAAAACCGGGATGGGATTCCCATGGGAATCTCTCCCTGGGGGGGATGGAAATGCCCCCTGTCCCCTCCCAGAGCTGCAGCACAACCGGAGGCAAGGGGACAGGGGAAGGTGACAGGGAAGGGACAGGGAAGGTGACAGGGAAGGTGACAGGGAAGGGTGACAGGGAAGGGTGACAGGGAAGGGTGACAGGGAAGGGTGACAGGGAAGGTCACAGGGAAGGTCACAGGGAAGGTCACAGGGAAGGTCACAGGGGATGGTGACAGGGAAGGGACACAGGGAAGGGTGACAGGGAAGGGACACAGGGAAGGGTGACAGGGAAGGGTGACAGGGAAGGTGACAGGGAAGGGACACAGGGAAGGTGACAGGGAAGGGTGACAGGGAAGGTGACAGGGAAGGGACACAGGGAAGAGTCACAGGGAAGGTGACAGGGAAGGGACAGGGAAGGGACAGGGAAGGGGTTCCCCTCATCCCAAGCACAGGGCAGGCTGAGCTGACACTCCCAGGGGTGGGGCCCTGCCCTGTGCCCCCTGTGCCCCCCCTGTGTCCCCCCCGTGCCCCCTGTCCCCGTGTCACTCACTGGCAGCCCCCGCTCAGCTCCTCCAGGACCCCTCGGAGCCGCCGCTCCGGGTGCGGCTTCTCCGTCTTGATCATCTCCTGCACATCGTTGAGTCCTTCCTCCTGCGGAATTCCCAGGGATCGGCTCCGGCCTCTCCCGGCTCGGGGCCGTGGGAAGGGCTCCACAGGAGGAGCTGGGAGAGGCCCCGACCCCCTGGGATGGACCCTCTGCCCAGCCCGCCCTGCCCCTGCCCGTGGGGAGCTCTCCCAGGGCCTCCTTGGGAATTAACGGGGGCTGGCAACTGGGAAATGACGGGATTTTTGGGTGGGAAGGGACTTGGAAGATCATTTAATTCCTGCACCCTGCTGTGGGCAGGGACACCTCCCGCTAGCCCAGGTTGCTCCAGCCTGGTCTTGGACACTCCAGGGATCCAGGGGCAGCCACAGCTTCTCTGGGAATTCCAGCCCAGCCCCTCCCCACCCTCCCAGCCAGGAATCCCTTCCCAATCTCCCCCCCAAATCTCCCCTTTCCCAGTGGGATCCATTCCCTGTGTCCTGTCCCTCCATGCCTTGTCCCCAGTCCCTCTCCAGCTCTCCTGGAGCCCCTTTAGGCCCTGGAATGTGCTCCAAGCTCTCCCTGAATCCTTCCCTTCCCCAGGCTGTGCCACATGAGGGGTTCACCCCTCCAGCCCGGATGACAAAACCTCCCCCCATTCCCTTTGCTGGGGACACCAGGCTGTGACCCCCAGGGGTTGGGAACACTGGGCTGTGACCCCCAGAAGCCCCAATGACCTCCTGGGATTTTTCCCCTGGAGCTGGGAAGCCCCCCTGTTCCCAGCCCAGCTCTCCTGGCCGTGCCTGTCCCCTCTGTGTGCCTGTGTCACTCCCATGCCCCGGCTGTGCCCCCCAACCCTGCCCCCCCCAACACTGACCAGCTTGTCAGCGATCTTGTCCATGATGTTGGAGTTGTAGAGGCGGCGCCGCCGGTCCTGCCACCAGCTCCTGATGTACACGCAGGGCTTGCGCTCCAGGTAGGGCAGGTGGAAGTAGTTCCTG